ACCATCCTGTAAGCTGTGGGGCTGCGCAGCCCCAGTGCCGTGGTTCCCCCTCAGCTCCCCCTGCCCATGGCACTGGGCCTCTCCGTGGTGCTGCCTGGAGCCAAGAGGCACAACCATTTCTGCTCAATAGCTTCTCCTCTTCTTTCTCTCTCTGCTCTCTTTAGCCTTCCCAGTAGACCTTTCCCTCTTTGGCACAGTTGGAAACTGCAGTTGATAAATGACTGTGGACTAGTGCGTGTTTTTTGTTTTCAGAGCACACCCAAGGTAAATATCTTCCCTCTCCCTGCCCCTTCGCTTTCCTTTCCTGGCCCTTCACCTGCGGGAGGAGCAGATCCCATGGCTCCCTAGGCTGGGGAGCATTTCTCTCCAGGGGTACAGGGTGGGCACTCCCTTCCATCCTTCTGGAAGACAGGAGGGGTCATGAGATACCTCCACTATGGGAAATGGTGCTTCCTTCTAGCACGGGGTGCTGTATCATCCCGTCCAGGGGGCTCTTGTTCAGCATAATGGCCTGGGCCAGAAATCCACAGCCCCAGCTTCCCTGTTTCCCAGGGAAGTCATCTGTCCTCAGTGGCTTCCTCTTGTGAGGCGAGTTTGGCTGACCATCTGCTAACCAACTGCTCCTGGCTCTGCTCTGATACCTCCTAAGGTATCCCGAGGCCCGTCTCACCTGCCCCTTCCTGTCCCACGGAGGATTTGGCACTTAGTTTTGATGGGAGCTTTACTAGCTTTGATGCTAATTCTCCTTCTCTTGTCTCCTCTAGGGTCCAACCACAGCAGGCCTGGCATCCCGGCGGAAGGCAGCCCTGGGCGGAACCCAGGTGTTTAACTGCTTGCTAGGCAGCCCCAGATCTGGGGAACAGATGAGCACGTGGGGAGCTGGAGTGAGCCAAGCAGAAGCTTCATTCCTGCCTGCCCCCATCCCCTCCAGGCCACGTTTTAGATGGCCCTTGTAGATGTGGGTCCTGGGTGTCCTCAGAACTTGACATCAATGCCTGGATCCTTCAGCCGGCCCTGCCCCACTTTAGAAGATGGGGGTCACCAGGGCACAGCTTTCCAGCCCTGCGTCAGGAAGGAACGAAAGGAGCACCATCTGTAGTCCCCAGGGCCCTGGCTTCCCCGTCTCCCCAGAGACTGGGACAGTGCAACATATTCAGACCTCTTTGGGCCAAGCCACCTTGTGAGTGCAGTTACTACCTTATGTGGCCGTGACCTGTACTCGCTTTGCTTTTAATTTGCCAGCCTGCCACTGCTGGCAGCACTTTTTGAGCAAACCGAGAGCACCCGTTTTGGTGTTGGGGGTTCAAATCCATGACCTTGTCCACGGTGTCCTTTCCAGTTTCCCTGATGGTGCCACGTTTCAGAGCATGCACCCCAGCCTTTCCCATGTGCCAAACCAGAAGCTCCGCTGCCTGTAGGCTGTTCCTGTAGCTCCTCTCCCTCCCTGGAGGCTACTCTTCTGACCCTGAGAGCTAGCCTAGTGGTGCCAAGGGCCCCTTCTGCTTCTCTGCCCACCTGCTGAGTTGCCACTCACAGCATTGTCAGTTCCTGTGTTCTGAGAAGAGGGCGCGCTTGGGAGGAAGGGATCGTCATGCTGCATCACATCCTCTCCACCATGTGGCCCGGGGAGAGTGGCCGCCTGTTGCACCTGCCACACACCTCCCCACAGCCTCCCTGCAGGTGCTGTATGGCCGTGATGTGCAGAGAGCATCTAGGGAGGGTTTATGAACCAGGTAGAACCTCATGACCTTTCTTTAAAAAAAAAAAAAAATCAGTTTTTGTTATATCTCTAGAACATTCCGAGTCTTTTCCTTTTTTTCTGTTTCTAGCTATGGGGTTTTAGAGAAGTGGGAACAGGAAGGCATTTGTCTTTCTTCTAATTTGCTATATTTTCCTTCCGTAGTTCTTGAGCTGTGTGGAAACCAGGGCATTACAAGGACATAGGATCATAGATTGGGGGTAGGGAGGGAGGAGGATTTGTGGGACTTTTCTCAAAGGAATTTGGACCCTTACAAATGGGACTGAAGGCCAAAAGAACAGTGGTATGCTTGCTTAGAAATTGTCCTCAAGGAATCAACTCTAAGAGCAAGCCCAGGTGGGAAACAGATGCTTTAAAGTCCTCTCCAGAACAGTGGGTTTGTTGTTGTTTGAGATGGAGTCTCACTCTGTCGCGCAGGCTGGAGTGCAGTGATGTGATCTCGGCTCACTGCAACCTCCACCTTCCAGGTTCAAGCGATTCTCTTGTCTCAGCCCCTGATCCCTAGCTGGGATTACAGGCACTCATGCCATGATACCTGGCTAATTTTTGTATTTTTAGTAGAGATGGGGTTTCACCATGTTGGCCAGGCTGGTCTTGAATTCCTTACCTCAGGTGATCCACCCGCTTTGGCCTCCCAAAGTGCTGGGATTGCGGGCATGAGCTAAGAACAGTGGTTCTTAACCTTGGCTGCAAATCAGAATCACCTGGCAAATTAAAAATACCCGGACCTGCCACCAGGGCTTGTGATTTAATCAATCTGGGCATCAGCATTTTCAGTTTTTTTTTTTTTGTTTTTTTTGTTTGTTTTTTTTTTTGTAGGGACAGATTTCACCATGTTGTCCAGGCTAGTCTTGAACTCCTGACCTCAGGTGATCTGCCTGCCTTGGCCCCCCAAAGTGCTAGGATTACAGGCGTGAGCCACTGTGCCCGGCCTTTTTTTCCTTTTTTTAAAGACAAGATCTCACTCTGTTGTTGCCCAGACTGCAGTGCAGTGGTGTGATCACGGCTTGCTGCAGCCTCTACCTCCCTGGTTCAGGCCATCCTGTCACCTCAACCTCCTGAATAGCTGGGACTATGGTTGTGTACCAGCACACCCAGCTAATTCTTTTAATTTTTTGTAGAGATTGGGTCTCATTATGTTGCCTGGGCTAGTCTCAAATCCTACGCTCAAGCGATCCTTCTGCCTTGGCCTCCCGTAGTGTTGAGATTATAGGCGTGAGTCACCATGCCTGGCTTTGAGATATTTTTAGATTCACAGAAAAGTTGCATAGACCTTTCACCCAGCTTCCCCTAATGTTAACATCTTACATATAACCTTGGTACATTTGTCAAAACTAAAAAAATTAACATTGGTGCAATCATACTATTAAAATAGTACAGAGTTTATTTGGATTTTATCAGTTTCCCAATAATGTCCTTTTTCTGCTGCAGCAGCCAATCCAGGATGCTATGCTCACTTAAAGCTATTGCTTTCTTTTTTTCTAACTTTATATTTTGAAATAATTTCAGATTATAGGAAGTTGTAAAGATAATGGTCCCACACACCCTTCCTCCAGTTTCCCTCCATGGTTACATCTTACATGATTGTAATGCAGTATTCCAACCAAGACTTAGACGCTGGTACAGTGTGGGTGGACAGTCCAAATCATTTGTCACATGTACATTTGTGTAACTACCACTGCAATCAAGATAAAGAAGTGCCATCCCCGAAAGGATCTCCCTCACCACCCTCCCTAACCCTTGGCAACCACTAATCCTTCATCTCTTATTTTGTCATTTCAAGAATGTTGTATAAATGGAAGCATAGTGTGTAAGCATTCGGGATTGTCTTTTTTCACTCTCATTCTTGGGAGATCACCCAGGGGTTGCATGTGTCAATGGTTTGTTCCTTTTTATTGCTGAGTGGTATTATTCCATGGTATACGCATTGGCCCCCTGAAGGACACTTGGGATGTTTCCAATTTTGGGCTATTCCAAATAAAGCTGCTATGAATATTCATGTATAGGTTTCTGTGTAAAGATCAGTTTTCTTTGGGATAAATTCCAGGTCATATGGTGGTTGCATGTTTTCTTTTTAAAACAAACTGTCAAACTCTTATGTCCTCACCAGCAACCTAGGATGATCGTTTCCCCAGATCCTCCGCAGCACTTAGTGGTGACATGTTTTTACTTTAGCCTTTCTGACAGGTGTGTCATGATGCCTCACGGTGGTTTTTCATTTGTGTTTCCCAGTGATGGACACCTCCTGTGTTTCATTACAGTGGAATATCCCTGTCTTTCACCCATTTTCTGATTGGATTGTTTCTTTCTGTTGAGTTTGAGAGTTCTTGAGATTCCTTTATGAGATTTTTGGTTTGCATTGGTCTGTAGCTTATCTTTTCACCCCCATCCCCTTTTTTTTTCTGAGGAGACAGAGTCTTTGTCATAGGGTGGAGTGCAGTGGCACAATCTTGGCTCACTGCATACATGACTCCTGGATTCAAGCAGTTCTCCCGCTTCAGCTTCCCAAGTAGATGGGATTATCACCACACCCAGCTAATTTTTTGTAGAGATGGGGTTTTACTGTGTTGCCCACAGCCAGTCTTGAACTCCTGAGCTCAAGTGATCTGCCCACTTCAGCCTCCCAAAGTACTACAATTACAGGTATGAGCCACCTCACCCAGCCGTCTTTACCCTCTTAACAGGGTTTTATACGGAGCAGAAGTTTTCAGTTTTGATAAAGTCCACCTTACTGATTTTTCCTTTATGGACTGTTGCTTTTAGTGTCACATATAAGAACTCCACCTAGTCTTAGATCCCAAAGATAGAGTCTGTTTTTTCCTAAAAGTTTTATAGTTTTACATTTAAGTATGTGACCCATGTTGAGTTAATTTTTGTATAATGTGTAAGACTTAGGCCAAAGTTCTTTTTTTTGGCCTGTAGATGTCTAGCTGCTCCAGCACCGTTTGTTGAAAGGTTGTCCTTCCTTCACTGAATTACCTTTGCAGCTTTAAGTCAGCTGGGCATATTTGTGTGGTCCTGTTCCCAAACGTGTTCTCCGCTCTATTGATCTGTACATCTGTCCCTCTGCCAGCATTGCACTCATGGTTCGCATAGCTATATAGTAGGTCTCGAAATCACACTGATTATTCTTTCTCAAAATATTTTCGCTACCAGTTTTTATATGAATTTTAGAATAACATTGTCTACATCCACAAAACATCGTCTAGGATTTTGATAGGAACTGCATTTAACCTGTATGTTAATTTGAGGAGAATTGATATCTTTATTGTGTCTAACAATCCAGGAACATGGCATGTTTATTTAAATCAGATTTCATCAGGTTTTGTAATTTTCACCATACAGAGTCCTTGCATGTTTTGTTAGATTTAAACCTAAGTATTTCATTTTTTAAGCAGTTGTAAACAGTACATGTTTTTAACTTTTGTGTCTACATGTTCATTTCCAGGAGGTAGAAACAGGTTTTGTGTGTTTATCTTGTACCTGAGATTTTGCCGCACTCCTAGGTGTCTGCTTTCCATAGAATCCTAGGGTTCCCCACATAGACAAGTGTGGCCTCTGCATGAGAATACCTGGGCCCTCCCCTCATGGCTTCTGACTTAGGGTCTGGACAGCAGGACTTTTTAAACCTTCCTGCTGCTTTGACCTTGTCGTCAGTGAGCTGAGCTGCCTTAAGCTCAAGAGCCTAGTGCTGGGACCCTTCATCCTGCCTACTGTGTGCTCAGCCTATCTTGCTGTCGCCCGGCATGGCTAGCAGGCCTAGGCCCAACCAAAGTATGGGCTTCCCCCAGTCCAGGAAAGACAGTTAGGCTGTAATGGATATCCAGTTTTAATGAACAGAAGATACTGATCAGTATAAAAAGGTGTGTTTGTCACTGAGGTGTCCTCATTTTCTAGATGAGGAGTTGTCTTCTTGATCTTGAATGCCTGCTTTGCCACGGCACCAGCATCTGGGTGCACGCTGGCTTTGTCGTCACAGGGAAGGAGCTGCGCATGGAAAGGTGTGTGCCCCTAGTGTGGAGCACTGGTCAGCTTTTCCGCATAGTAACAACAGCCTTGTTCTGGGCCTGAGAAGGCCACCAAAGGTAGACTAAAAACCACGGCCAAATGCCTATCAACCCAGTTGTACCTAATGTAACCCAGGACCCATGTGAGGGAGGCTGAGCTTGCAGCTTTCAGCCCTTCTCTCAGCCTGTGGTTCTCAGATGAGGGCAGAGCTTGATTCACTTTCTGGCATTTAGGGACCCAGCCCCGCCAGCAGTACAGGTCTGCACCAGTGAAACTTGAAACATACAGCCAGTGGCAGAGGAAGAAGTCTAGGGAGCTTGCGTCCTTAGACCACCAGGGAGCAAGGGACAGGGAGGGGGGCCCTCGCCTTCCTCTGCTTCCCTGTGGGCTGGGTTCAGAGCCCCTCAGTGTCCTGGCCTCTGAGGTGGGATCAAGCAGGGTGGGTACAGCTGCAGAGTTCCACGCAAGACCTCAAACTCCAGTACCAGGGACATAAGGGCGCATAAGAGCCTCAGGCAAACTAGGGTTACGGGCCACTGCCCCGAGTTGAGTGGGCCACAAGCAATCCCCAGTGCCCAGGCACTTCCCCCATGAGAGCTACCAGCAGGCGACAGTGTGCCAGGCCAGCCTGAGCGGGGCCAGTGCAGTGGGTGCAAGGCTTCTCTCAAACACGCACTCCAGCCGATCAGTCTTAGGGCTTCTGAGGCAACCTGGTGGGTCCTCGACTTCTGTTGCTGTGAGACCTCACACCTGTTGAGCAGCCTGCGCCAGACGGCCAGAACCCACCTCCAGAGTCCCTACGACTAAAGTTGTCCAGACACTGCCAGGGTTGCTGCTGACAGGAATGGAGTCCCCGGAGAAAGCCCTGCGCATGGGCATCTGCCAGCGCAGACCGGCCTAGCCCTGCACGGCCTGCCTCCGCTGCCCCTTGTACATCTTGGATGGCATCTGCTGGCCACAGGCTGAGTTCACACCAGCAGAGACTGGCCCCAGGGAGAGCAAGGCAACCCCCTAACCTGGGATGAGTGGACACTGAGGACGCCTGGACCCAGCTCTGGGCGGCCCCAGCTCCGGACTGCTCCCTTTGGGCTCTGCCCTTGGCCCCCACTCCTCCTCTCATCTGGACCCACACTTTCCCCTGCCTCTTGCTCCCGGCAGGGAAGCTGACTCCCCTGACACTCGAAGCCAGGGAGGCCTCTCTCTGAATGCTGAGCCCGGTGTTGCACCTCACTTCTGCCAGGGCTTCCTCAGATGCCCGAGGAGGCACAGCCATGAGAAAGAAGGAGGAACTAGAGCTGAGGGCAGGAACCACAGAGACACAGATGCGGGGGTGGGGCGTGGAATGGAATGGTGGCAGTGCGTGAGGCATGGGGCTGCCGTCAGCACCTCAGCACCTGGTGCGGGGATGCGCCACATGGGCCTGCAGGGCCTCCCGGATGCTGCGCTGCCAGTCTCGAGCCAGCTGCGCTGGGGTCACTGAGGCCTGGGAGCAACAGTGTGGGTCAGTCCCATGTAGGTGCTCCACCTGCCCACCCTCAGGACAGGAGCTGGGGCTGCACCTACACTCACCACATTTCGCACCCCCAGGTCGGCCCCGTAGAGCAGCAGCAGCTTCATGGCTTTGTAGCTGCCATGCCGCACAGCCTCATGCAGAGCCGTGTCCCCTTCCTGCTGAGAACGCAGGTGGTCAAGCTCCTGCCTCCGCATCCTGCCCTCCTCACATGGGAAGGTCAGGGCTGCTATCACTGAGCAGATAGCACATCCGGTCCTGGCTGGGGCTCCTCAATCCCTGCCCCAGTGGAACTGTCCAAGCAGGAAGACCAGTCACTTGCCTTACCTTATCTTGTGCGTTTAGGTGGGCGCCACACTCAATGAGGTGCTCCAGGCAGTCGGGGTGCCGGGTGCGCACTGCCACGTGCAGGGGGGTGCTCCAGATCTGAGAGCAAGTGGGGGTCAGTGCTGGGTCTGGATTGGCGAGGCCTCCCCAACCCACCAGATTACGTGCTCTCTTCTCCAGGAACTGTGTCCACTCCCTGCTCCCTTGCATCGCTGACAGGTCCCAAAAGCGCTGTACCCCGTACCTTGTCCCGGGCATTGACCCGGGCTCCCTGGTTAAGCAACTGTTTGAGGATATCCAGATGTCCTCCACGGCAGGCCCAGAACACGGGTGTCCTGTCCAGCTGCAAAACCAAAGCATCCAAGCACTCAGAGATGCTGGGATGCTAAGCAGGGCATCGACCCGAGGCTGGGCCTTCCCTAGTCCTCACCAAGTCCCGAGCGTCCACTATGGCACCTGCTGCCAGCAGCTTGTTCACCAGTTGGCTGTGACCCTTCAGACAGGCCCAGTGCAAGGCGGTGCGGTGGAGCTGGAGGCAGAGACGGGAGATTAGGCAGAGGGAGCACAGCCACCCCTAATGACCTCACGGCGTCCCTTTCCCAAGGCCAGGTCCCTGAACGAAATTGCTGCTCCCTCCCCTCCCTCTGGAGGCACCATAAAGGTAAAGAGCCCTGCAGCCTCCTAGGCCAGGACTTGAACACAATGAAGGTGGTGCTCCTGCAGCTGCAGCTGCTGCCAGCCAACTCACCCCACTGCACTACCTTGTCATGGGCATTGGGATCCCCTCCATCTGTCAGGTACTTGTCAATCAGGGACTCCTGGTTCTCAGCAGCTGCCTTCAGGAACATCTCCAGGCCCACAGGCTCTACATGGGCCTGGGGCTGTGGCTAGGTCAATTGAAAACAAGACCAAATCACTCCCAAAGGCCACAGGTGCCCAAAATGGCACAGCTTCACCACCTGGCCTGCATGTCCTACACAGCCAGCCGAGGACTGGCACACCGCTGGCTTGTACTAATGCAGTTTCTTATTCTAATCCCACCCCAAGAGATTGAATAGACAATGTGTGTGTGTGTTATGGATTGACTTGTTATCTCCCCAAGAGTCATATGAAGTCATGAAGTCCTAACCCCAGGTACCTCAGAATGTGACCTTATTTGGAAACAGAGCCACTGAAGATGTAATTAGTTAAGATGAGGTCATGCCTGAGTATGATGGGTCCCTTACCAATACGACTTGTGTTAAAGTGGGCTCTAATCCAGTGTGACTGGTGTCCTTATAGAAGGGGACACATAGACACAAGCGTGCACACAGAACGCCCAGTGAACATGAGGGCAGAGTCGGGTGATGAATCTGCAAGCCAAGGAATGCCAGCATCCACCAGAAGCCAGAGGGGCATGAAGCGATTCTTCCCCCACCGCTCTCAGAACCAGCCCCACTGACACCTTCCACTCAGCCTTCCAGCCCCTAGGACTGCGAGGTGACACACGCCTGCTGTTGAGGCTGTCCAGGCTGTGGGACTTTGTTGCGGCAGCCCTTGTGGACACATCCATGGGGGCTCTGGAGTGGATTTCACTGGCTGTGTGGTCCTGGCCTGCTGTGCCTACTCCCCAAGCCCTTCCTCTGGAACTGGAGCCCTGGTGTGTGCACTGCCCTAGTCCTGAACTCCCACTCACCTTAACCAGGGGCTCAGGTTTCTTGGGGGGGACTCTGCGTCTCAGTCTTTTTTCTCTCCGTCTTTGAGCCAAGTTTTCCAAGTCAGCCAGATTATCCAGATTAACTCTGGAACTGCTAAATCTTTCCAGCTGGAGCAGAATGTGGGCAAAAAACAAGACCATGCCAGCCATCAGCCACTGGTCAAGAGACCTCTCTGTCCTGCCAACAGGAGACACCAGCTTCTCGCCCCACCAGAGCCCCTCCAGGCCTCACTACTTAGCCGGCCTCAGGGATTAACCAGCCCCCAACCCCACCCCTGCCCCTGTCTCACTTTTCGCTTCTTTTCTTCTTCCAATTTCAGCTTCTCCCGGGCCACAGCCTCTTGGGGGCCCCTCCTCCAGTCACTAGGCCAGCCTCTAGGGTCAGGAACTCCATGTCCAAATCCCAACACTTTCCCTTCATCTCTTTCTCCGCTTACCTGTAGGAATAGTATATGAGTACCGAGTCAGGAAAATTGGAGGAACCCTCTTTAGAAAACAGCTGTGCAGTACCAGGGAGCTATCTGACAAGGGCGGATGTCACAAGGCTGGTGCTCGGGATGGGAGTCAGCCTCAAAGCCCTGGCAGTCCGGAGTGCTGGCAAGCTCCTTCACCCTGTGGGTGCTGCTGGCTCCACAACTGTGGCATCAGGTTGACATCAGCTGACACCCAGGGGGACAACAGATCTCCACCTACCCTGCTACTGTCAGCAGGAACACGGCTGGGGGGACAAGAGGTCACTATCTATTTATACTGCTGGGCGTGTGTCCAGGTGGCCTCAAGGCAGATGACACCTTAGCTTCCCCCATGCTGTTGTCCTTATTCCTACCAGATCACACCTACTGCCACCTGACTCCAAGGTCAGAGGAACAGAGGAGAAGCCCCCATGGTAAAATTCTAAATGCCTGGGTTCAGTTCAGCCTCCTTTTGAAGCTACATTTAAGCTCAAACACTTTAAACACTTGCCTAAAGGAGTTGTGAAGGTTTTAAGTTATTGGGACCTGTGCCTGGGGCAGAGCCTCTGCAGCAAACCTCCATGTTGCCTCCTGCCAGGCCCCACCTCAGGACTTCAGGAGCTGGGGAACACTGAAGAATTGGCATGTTGTGGGGAAAGAACAGGCTGGAATGATAGGGTAACAGAGCCTAGGGCTTTCCAGCCAGGCAGAACCGTATTCCTTCTTAAGAACGCTAGCAACCTAACACTTCCCTGCACTGGTCTCCTGGCAGAGGCTGCACCACACACCCTCCATGCCCCTCCTCACGCAAACTGACATCCCTAAGCACCACTGTTTCTCTCACTGCCCAGGATGCACAAAAGCACCATTCCCCATCCCCGAGGCAGCCAGGCCCCTTGGCCATTTCCAGAGCAACAACTATCATGATGCTCCGACATACCTGCATCTTCCAAAGTAATCTGCCATTACCCGTTCCTCTTTCGCCATCACCATCCAGGGCAAAACTTACTGAACTCAAGGATTTTCATGTCTCCTTTCCCCTTTGACTTTTTCCCTCACCCCCTCAGCACCTCACATGAGCACCCAGCAGACACCCAGAAGAACTGCACGCTCAGCCGGGTGTGGTGGTTCACGCCTGGAGTCCCAGCTACTCAGGAGACCCAGGTGGGAGGATCACTTGAGCCTGGGAGTTTGAGGCCAGCCTGGGCAACATAGCAAGACTCCATTTCAAAAAACAGGGATTTTTATAAAAGAACTGCATGCTTCCTTTCTCCTAAGACTTGACCCTCGCACCACAGAAAGAAACTGCCAGCGCTCCTCTAGCCAGACAGCCTCCTCCTGCCAAGCCAGTCCCTGGGTGCCTCCCGCCTCCGTCCCACATCCTTACCAACTGCTGAATGCTGAGGAAGTCCATGGTCCCCCCTATTCCTCACACCCCTCAGTGAGAAGAGCTGAGCTGCTCAGCCCTTTATAGAAGCACCTGGGGGCGGGGAGGGAAGGACTGGCCCAGAGACTTGCGCCTGGGCCAGATGACTCTGGGACTCTGTCACACCAACCAAAATACCAGTCTGGGAATGCAGCCCACTGGGGACACGAAAAGGACCTGTTTGGAGCTGAGTTGGCTACATCCTCGGACACCCACTCCCGCATCTCTGCCATGCCCCACACCTACTCGGGCTATTTAACCAACAAGCTGATAGTCCAGATTCAGGTGAAATGTGTCCCCTCTCCTTAGATGCCACTCGTAAAGAAAGCTCAGCCTGGACCTCCATGTTGTAGGGCCGTCTGCCTGCAAACCTGAAAGCCCAGCCCGGGAGGCTGAGCAAGGAGACCACAAGCTTGAGGGGATAGTCAGGAGGGCAGGAGCGGCCAGCCTATAGCCTCAGCCCTCCTGGTGGCCACACAAGGAAACTGTGACCTCCCAACCTGCAGTTTCAAGGATGCCCTTCCCTGTGCCCCTGGGCTCCCCTGCTCCTCCCCCAGCGCTCTGAGAGCCCATGGCAGCTACCCCAGCTCCAGAGCCAAGCTTGGTGCTTGTCCTCAGGCCTCTGGAAGTCCTTTCCGCCCCTCCACAGGCTCCTACCAGATGCTCTCCAGGGAAGGAACAGGCCTCTCCACAGGGAAGAGGAGACTGATCTGCGCCAGGTCCCAGGATGGAATAGTAACCATGAAATCCAGCCACAGAGCAATGTGTCTCAAGCCACCAATCAGCTTTCCTAATTCTCCTCAGGAAGCCAGGAACACTCTTCATCCAGCTGGACCTTGAACTCCACCTTGGCCTTTGCAAGGAAATCAGATAGCCAGTAAATAAGACCACAGAATCGGAGCAACCTGAGCAGAGATGACCAGGGCACAAGCAGGGAGAACTGTGGCCAAAGACGGTCACAAGTCCCAAACGGCTGCCCAGCTCCCAGAGCTGGCCTCTGGGAAGGGCTTCTGCATTTTCAGAGAACTCAAGGAAAGGCAGAGCTTTCTTAGAAAACTCAGCTTTGTTTTTTTTTTTAATTTTGAGACAGTCTCGCTCTGTTGCCCAGGCTGGGAGTACAGTGGCGTGATCTCGGCTCACTGCAACTTCTGCCTCCTGGGTTCAAGCAATTCTCCTGCTTCAGCCTCCCAAGTAGATGGGATTACAGGTGCCTGCCACTATGTCCAGCTAATTTTTTGTATTTTTAATTAGGTTTTACTGTGTTGGTCAGGCTGGTCTTGAACTCCTGACCTCAAGTGATCTGCTGGCTTTGGCCTCCCAAAAGTGCTGGGATTATAGGTGTGAGCCACTGCGCCCAGCCAAAAACTCAGTTCTTAGGCTAAATTTAGGGTGCTTTTTCAGACAAAGATGTTCCTTGCTTTTTTTTTTTTGAGACGGAGTTTTGCTCTTGTTACCCAGGCTAGAGTGCAATGGTACAATCTTGGCTCACTGAAACCTCCACCTCCGAGGTTCAAGCAACTTTCCTGCTTCAGCCTCCCGAGTAGATGGGATTACAGGCATGCGCTACCACACCTGGTTAGTATTTGTATTTTTAGTAGAGACAGGGTTTCACCATATTAGCCAGGCTGGTCTCGAACTCCTGACCTGAGGTGATCCACCCTCCTCGGTCTCCCAAGTGCTGGGATTACAGGCATGAACCACTGCACCTGGCCTACTTCCACGTATAGATCCATACATTTATACTTGATCTTAACCAAAAGGCTGAAAGGCAATCACATTCTACAGGTGTGTCCTGTGTGAAGAGGGTCCCACTGTGGACACAAGCAGCACTCTCCTGTCAGCAAGCTGTGCTCTGCTGCATGGCAGAGAACTTGGGTCTGCAGAACTCAACCACTCCCTATCAGGGAGGAGTTGGTTCTCTCAAAGAAGAAAAAAAAGTACATATATAAAACAAAGGATCAGGATCTAGAATATAAACACTCCCATAAATCAAAAAGAAGCATTTCTAAAATTGGCTTGGGCAGGCAGCTCACAGAAGACACAGGTGCTCAAACCAGCAATGAAAAATGAAAGCCACAGTCCTTTTTCCCATCGGACTGTTAAAATGAATGAAATCATGGTATGTGTGAAGGGCTGATGAGGAGCTGGGGAATCAGGCCTCCCCGAGGCTGGTTACCACGTGCCAGGCACTCTCTCGAGGGCTCACACAGTGCACACTCACCTCATCCCACGATGACTCTGAGGCAGGTCCTATGAGAACCATTCTCATTGCAAAAGAGAAAACGGAGGGGCAGACAGCTAAAGTGACTTTTACCAAGGGCATTCAGCTAGAAAGCAGCTTGTCACATAGTCCCTATTTTCTTCTAATACTTACATAGTTTTGTGTTTTTATATTTAGATCTTTAATCTTGTAATTTATCTTGGTGTGTGGGATGAGATAAGGATATAACTTTATTTTTTTCCAAGTGAATAGATGTCTCATATGAACTAATTTAGAATATGATCATCTGTCCAGGCTTAATACTTTCAGCCACACCAAATCTACTCCCTCGCTTCCACAGTGACCAAACTGGGGCTCTTCCCGGGTCATCTGGCCTCAGTTCCCCGCCCAGTAGCATGGATGCTGACCAATGCAGGGGCTTGGAGAACTGGTCTGTGTACCCTTGAAAGGCAGCTGGAGGCAGAGTGCCGGCTCAGCTGGATAGCAGGTCCTGCAGGTCACTGTTGCAGGGCAGCAGGTCACATGCTAGCCGTGCCTTTCGGTCCCGGATGGCCTTCAGGGCTGGACTGTGTTGCAGGAGGAGGGAGCAGATGTCTCCGTGACCCCTCTCAGCAGCCTGCAGAGAGAGAGGCCGGAATCAAAGGGCATACCCCACACTGGGCTCTGCTCTTTCTTCTTCCACCTTCAGGGACTTCTTCCTTCTAAAAAAGGGGCCTCATGGAAATAGAGACACAGCTGTTTGAGTAGATTTCTCTTAATTCCCACCAAATCCCAATGACTTTATACATATTTGTGGAGTATCCCAGTGCCATTCTCGCAGTTAGCCTCAGTTTTTCTTTATTGTGTCCTTTGCCAGATTGGCCATTCTTGTCTTTGGCCAAACCTACACATTAAAAACAAGGCCTGGCGCGGTGGCTCACGCTTATAATCCCAGCACTTTGGGAGGCCAAGGTGGGTGGATCACCTGAGGTCGGGAGTTCAAGACCAGCCTGACAAACATGGAGAAACCCCATCTCTACTAAAAAATACAAAATTAGCCAGGCATGGTGGCGCATGCCTGTAATCCCAGCTACTGGAGAGGCTGAGGCAGGGGAATCACTTGAACCCGGGAGGTGGAGGTTGCTGTGAACCGAGATCATGCCATTGCACTCCAGCCTGGGCAACAAGAGCAAAACTCTATCTTAAAAAGAAATAAATACATACATACATACCTAAAAAAATAAAAACGGATACAGCACCTTGTATCTCCAGGCATCACTCACAAACCTGCATACATCACCTACAGGGAGTTGCGCTTTGTGGGCACAGGAGGCACCAGACACGGCACCCACCCTTTGGGAACTTTTGTTTATTTTCTTATATTTAAAATTTTTTATCTTTATGTTTTAGAGACAGGGTCTTACTGTGTTGCCCAGGCTGGAGTTCATAGTGCAATTATAGCTCACTGCAGCCCAGTTCCTGGGCTCAAGTGATCCTCCTGCCTCAGCCTCCCAAGTAGCTGAGATTACAGCCACTGCACCTCCTCTACACTTGGCTAAAGTTTAAAAAATATATATATTTATTTTGAATTTTAAAAAATAGAGACAGGGCTAGGTGTGGTGTCTCATGCCTATAATCTCAGCACTTTGGGAGGCCGAGGTGGGCAGATCACTTGGGGTCAGGAGTTCGAAACCAGCCTGGCAACATGGCGAAACCTCATCTCTACTAAAAATACAAAAATTAGCTGGGTGTGGTGGTGTGCACTTGTAATTCCAGCTACTCAGGAGGCTGAAGCACGAGAATTGCTTGAACCTGGGAGGCAGAGGTTGCAGTGAGTCGAGATCACGCCACTGCACTCGGGCTTGGGCGACAGAATGAGACTCTATCTCAAAAAAAAAAAAAAAAAAAAATAGAGACAGGGTCTCACCATGTTGCCCAGGCTGGTCTCAAGCTCCTGTACTCAAGCAATCCTCCCACCTCAGCCTCCCAAAGTGCTGGGATTATAGGCATGAGCCAAAGTGCCTGCCAGTCCCTTTAGACAGGCAGGGAAAGATTGGGGCCCAGGTCTCTGTGTTCTCTTCTTTTTTAAGGTAGAAGATCCTAGTCTGGATGTCAATTTCTAATCTACCTCCTCCAAAAAATAATACAGTTAAGTGATTTACACAGATTATCTTATTTAATTTGCACAATAGACCTCACAGGCAAGATTCATCATTATTCCCATTTTACAGATGAAGAAATTTAGGCTTAATAAGTGTCTTGCCCAAAGTCACAGGGCTAATGTGGTCACCTGGGATTCTAAATCAGGTTTGCCTGGACTCGTAATAACTCTGTGAACCACTATATTTCCTACTCCTCCCAACAGAGAAATTGATAGACTACAGGGGCTTTTGAGAGGTATCAAAATTAAACTAGAGGCAACCGCCATCCCAAATTTGAATCCAAATCTTTACTCAGCTGGTCCTCCTGATGAGTACAGACCCAGAGCTCTCAATTCCACTGCCTTTAGGCAGTGGGATATTGTGAGCAGTTGTGAGATGCATCTCAAATAATTTTCACAAAAAGCACCAATGTTTGCAAATAGTTTTTTTTTTTTTTTTTTTTGAGACGGAGTTTCACTCATGTTACCCAGGCTGGAGTGCAATGGCGTGATCTCGGCTCACTGCAACCTCCGCCTCCCAGGTTCAGGCTATTCTCCTGCCTCAGCCTCCTGAGTAGCTGGGATTACGGGCACGCACCACCACGCCCAGCTAATTTTTTGTATTTTTAGTAGAGACGGGGTTTCACCATGTTGGCCAGGATGGTCTCGATCTCTTGACCTCGTGATCCACCCGCCTCAGCCTCCCAAAGTGCTGGGATTA